GTTAATTCTAGAAGAGATTTTAGCTTTGCGTGATCGATCGATCGATCGATGGAGAGTATAGTAGATTAGTAGTTGGTGGTCATGCGTGATGCATATATACTTGTCTGCACATGCTTGCCCAGTTGCCCCTGTTCGAATTTCATTTCATATTCGCCTCTCATCAACTGTAAATAATTCAGAAGCTGGTTGTTCAAACCGTATAATAATATATTCTCCCAACTAATTGCACGTATGCGTGCTCACGAGCTGAACAATACGTTACTGCTCAGTCCATCCCCTTCACAGAATGGAGTTGTATTTTTTTTATTTTTTTTAGATAATGGAGAATGGAGTTGTATAGGACTCCTAATTAGTAATTAACATATACTCCTATACATTTGTTAATTTAATTATAGCAAGTTGAGTTATGTTTGCATGTGTGTGAACTGCTCCTAACTAATCAGACCATGTTAAGCTCTGCATATGCATATTTGGTCTAGCAATTAGTACTCAACATTTACTACTTGAGCACGTGGAATTATGTCATCTCCATCCATTCCATCACTGAGGAACAAGTCGTGCGTTGAGCATGCGTTTGCACTGTTGACCGTGCTAGCTTCATGAAATGTCTGCTAATTTTTTGTTAATCAGATACTAATTTTTATTCCTCTGAACCCAAACTATACCAAATATGGTCATCATTTAATTAGCAGAAGTACAGAAATGAAATGATCAGCCGCTGGATCTATCGATCTCAAGCTCAATCGTTCTTAGGTCTGCACTTGTAAAGAATCAAGAAAGGTACTATTACTACCGAACTTTTTCAGTACCACTCCAGCGTATGTAGACAGGAAGAGTTTAATTAATTAATTGATTAGTCATGTACCATCACCCTTAATCATAAAGTTGTCAGCTTTACATCTGCTAAGCCTAGAATTATACTGAAATGATGGAGGTTTAGCTTTCTACTCACGTGGTTAATCATGTTGCAGCAGCAGTTTTCTCCTCATCTTTTAATTTCTGGAAGGATTACGACAGTGAACCGGACTTGTTCTACAGGCCTGCAGCGATAGCTCTAGGATTACTGATTGAGGTTAGGTCGGTGAGGTGAACCATCATATATCCATCGAATACATTAATTATTCAGTTGATTAATCTCTGGTCAAATCTGAGGATTTATTTAAGACTCGAGCATATCTACTGACAAACAAGTGAAAGAATACATGTATGGTATCCCAATAAAAAATAATGCATGTCAGGGACGATATATAATCCAAGGCAGATAGCTACCGGCTCTTTTTATTTTTCTTGGGTGAGATTCAGAAGCATGAAGCCGTGAACTACGGTGTCTGTCTGAACTTCTGAACAGAATTCGATCCAGACGATGGAGAATCACAATTGGGAATGATTCTTGTTCTTCCAAAAGGTAAATGAAGTGTGAACCTTCAGAAGAATAATCCAGGTCAAGTTTTCCTACGAGAGGAGTCTGAAACTGTGAAAAAAATCAAAGCAATCGAGAACAAAGCAGAGCAGTAGAGGCAGCTCGATGCTGACGTGCGTGTGTGCCAAGTACCAACACAAATCCAACAGGCAAAAAGCTTCAGCCTCCAGGATTACAAACACAGCACCAAATAATGCATATATTTTTGCATTGTTCATCTCTCCTGACCTCACATTGGAATAAGACTGGATTATAGTGAGGACAAAATTAATTAAACTATCAAGCAAGGGTCCACTGAATCGACATCTTTGTATCGTTGATGACAGGTACATGTATTGTGCATTTGTGCATTGACATGGACACGTTCAGTGGAGTAGTTTCACTTCTCCACGTTTTTTACTCGTCAGCGAACCCAGGAAGAAGAAGATGAAGAACATGCTGACCAAGCTGACCACCAAAGTGTGTACACACGTAGCATGATGTGTACTGCATTGATTGCATTTTTCAGAGCTTTTTTTACAGCTCTATTTCACAGTGTATTTGGACACATGATAATTGATAAAGAATATAGGAGCATTTCTAACATAAAATAAATATACTATAAAAATATATCCAACGGTGGATTTAATAAGTTTAATTTTGTGTTGTTAATTGTTGTGTGTTTTTCAATGAACTTGATCGAACCTTTAAAAATTAACTTAAGACAAGCCAAAAAAACGCTTTATAATACTACTACTCCTACTATGGAACAGAGGGAATAATACATTAGAGTTCCTATGTCCCTTCTGCTGTAGTAAAAGCTGTTGCACAGATTTGGGATTAGTTAGGTGAAGGTGATAATGCATTTCTGTTTGGTGGTGGTACTACCACTAAATACATGAACAAGGGAAGTACAGACAATACACATTTGCTACAATTATAATCCTCCTCCTACTCTACAGATATAATCCTGCAATTTGCTCCACATGAGATGCGTGGAGACTATACAGCTAATTAAGTGCCATTGCATGATCTGCTCAGGTGACCAACTACAGCTAATTGCTGCACCTTGGTTTGCAACAACTCAGGACTGCACGAAATGCTGTGGGCTCTCTCGTATAATACTGCACATTCACACCGACAGACAACAGGACCAGCTGCTGCTACTGTACTAAATCCTGCAAAGACGTTTTTGCAACTTAATTACTCCGTGCCGTACTAATTAGTTTTGCTATGAAAAAGGTGCAGCGTAGTTAACACAACTAACCTATCTCATACGCCAATAGATTTCAGATCAGCATGAGTATTTTATTTAGATTCTAATCTGACTTACTGACTACTTGCTGAAACTTGATCAACACAATTGTCAGCCACAAGAATTGTTTTGGGAGCAAACAACTTTTTTTCTTACTATTTCATACAGGCAGTAGCATTATCTATCTATTTAATTATTTATTTGATCAAGCATTTCGTTGGATGAGTACTTTGAAAGTCTGAAGGAGTAGGAGCCTAGGACGACCGTTGTAAGCAATTTGCTCCATAAATACTCGATGCTTGATTAATGTGACGGATGTGCGTGTGCGCAATTAACGCTAAGCTTGTACGCAACAATTAAACAATCTTCCTTCCAAGCTCGAAACCTCACTGATTGAGAACTACTGCTACTGTTCCATTAGCTAATTAATACGCATGTTAAGTGCACCCTATTAGCTAATTAACTGTGCATTACCCACTCGCAGACAACACATTTTATTTCCTTTCGGGCGAGTAAAACATGCCGTGTGTTTGTGTGTGTTACCATTAATTATGTAGCTAAATCCACAGGCCAACAATTTTCTGCTTGTCTTCATCTGGTCTTTAATTTGACCTTTTGTTCATATTTCAATATAGGTTCACAACTTCACATATACGACTGTCGTCTGATTCGTACGTTTAAGGTCAGGCCGGGTCCTAAAAGTCATCATCTCTAGAAGGAATATGTTTTTTTAAAAAAATTAATTTGTTTGTTTTGTTTTATGTAATTGTTTCGCTTGATAAAAAAATATGTCTTTGTTGCTAAGACAATGGCTGAAACAAGTATCTTGATTAATCCAGTATAAATATGCAATGGATAATCACCACTGGACAATCCTTTTGACCAGTTTTGGCTCTTTGCAGTGTTGGTCATTGGGTTATCAAATCATGACTTGCAAGTTAAGGCTTGTCATCACCTCATGATTCTTTAACTAATGCATGAAAGTATTATTTGTTCCAGAAGGTTGAATCAAATGTCACCTAATGAGTACGCCTGCAGAACAAGACAATTAGGATTTGGGACAGGAAAGTATGGTCAATACGTTTCTGACAGTTTCGTGGTAGCTGAAAAATGCAACAAGATTAATTGAAACAGTGAATGTGCATGCTACCTTAACAGCTAGGAGACCAGCGATGCAGCAAGTGACCTTGATGCTCAGTTCCAACAGACAATCATCCATTAAACAAAGCCAGAACTACTAATTGGAAGACCCAGCATAGACCTGCAGCGACTCTTAATTCTCCCCATTAGTTTGGGACTTGGATAAGTAGCTGTCAGATCTGACCTAATTAATGGATGGAAAAAGGTTTGGTCATCTGACCTCCCAACAGATTGAATAATTGGTTCCTAATTGCAGTCATATATCTTGATTCTTGCATGGAGTAGTTTCATTCATGTTACTTCTTCCAAAATAGAAAGAGCACAGAAGAAAATGCAACTGCATTACTGGAAAAATCATGTACTGTACTAGTCTCTCAGGCATGTGAAGTTTGGAAAATGAATAACTAATCATACTATAATCAACAAAGTTTAGGCCACGTTTAAAACAGATTTTTACGTGATATTGAGGCAGATTATTTACATGATAAACACAATAAATCGAAATTTTAATAAATGAATTCCACAATAATATACTCCCTCCGTCCCAAAATAAGTGCAGTTTTAACATTGTTTATGCTCAACGTTTAATCGTTCGTCTTATTTGAAAAACAATTATGATTAGTATTTTTATTGTTATTAGATGATAATACATGAATAGTACTTTATGTGTGACTAATATTTTTAATTTTTTTTATAAAATTTTTAAATAAGACAAGACGGTCAAAACACTAGACATGGATATCTATGGCTGCATTTATTTTGAGACGGAGGTAGTATGTAATCTTTTAAAAAATTACTCTCGTTTAAAAAAAGTCCAATTCATAGTACGTTTAGTAAATAAAAAATCGGAGAAAAAAGGGTCAGATTGCATCAGAGATCACAGTATCGTCGTCACAGTGACTAAATGCAGCAGCAGTCACAGATGACTAGACTAAATCAAAGATTAACAGTAGCAGCAGAGTAAAGAGAGGCTTTTTTTCCTTGGAATCTTCCCCCTCACTCCTCGCAAATCCCACGCGCCTTTTCTTCCCACGTGCATCTGTCAGTGACACATTACTACTACCACAACTGCCTCCCAAAAAAAGAGAGAAAAAAAAGATGAACTAATATTCGGAGAATAACCTGTAAAGAAAAGAGAGAGAGAAAAAAAAAGAAATGGAAAAGGAGGCAGGCGAATTGCTCAACGGAAGTACGGTGAAAGAAAGAGAAGAGCGGTTGCCATCGCCAGCCACAGCAGCCGCGGCTACTATAATGGTGGGAGAGACAAACTAGAGAGAGAAAGAAACCACCACCGCCCCAAGAAGAGAGAGAGAGGACGCGACGGTTGCCAGGAGGAGGCAGCCAACGGCGCTCGAGGCAAGAAACGACGCGGCCATGGTGGGCTTGCCTTGGGAGTCGTGACGCGCTGTGTTTGCTGCCGTTGAGAGATGAAGGTAGTATCCAAGAAGCATCATCAGCAAGGAGGAGGGACGACGACGATGGAGGAGGGCGCCATGGACGGCGCTGGCGGAGGAGTGGCGGAGGAAGGGTGCTCCGGGGAGGAGAGGGAGGGAGTCGCCGACGTCGCTGTTGGCGGCGGCGGCGGCGAGGGGGAGCGGGAGGGGAGGACGCTGGTGGTGGGCGTGCGGGCGGACGCCGCGAGCCGGACGCTGCTCACGTGGACGTTCATCAATGTCGCCGCCCCCGGCGACCGCATCGTCGCCGTCCACGTCGTGCTCGCCTCCGCGCCCGTGGCCGCCGCCACCACCGCCGTCGACTTCGACACCATGCTCGCCGTCTACGAGGGCTTCTGCAATCTCAAGCAGGTCTAGCTCCCTCTCCCCTCCCTTCTCTCGCCCTCGACTTGCCAGTTTGCTCGCCACTTTCTACCAACCATGTCCATCCTTCTCTTCTGCTTCATCTTTTTTCTTCTCAATTGTTTGGTTGATTTCAATCTCTCCTTTATTTTTGGCTGTTTTTGAAGGATTAGATTTTTAGCCCATATCCTTACAATTTTTCACCCATCCTGCATAAATTATCCCAGTTGCAACAAATATTCAGAGAGTGGTTTCCGCTAACTTTTGCAGTAATGCGATTTTTTTACCTTTATTTATGGCTTTCCTTCTGCAATTCACATACTTCCCGCTCGTTCCCCTCTGCAAATCGCAGTATTTTCGCAGTAATTGACTGCTTCAGCAAGCTAACTTTGGGGTCTTGTGTTGTGCAGATCAATCTAAAGCTCAAGATTTGCAAGGACTCCTCGGTCCGCAAGGCGCTAGTTCGTGAGGCCAACCTGTTTGGGGCATCCAAGGTTATCGTCGGCATCGCCAAGAAGAAGCGCGGGATTTCGTAAGTGACATTCGATCCGCATCCGCTATCAAATCTCATCAACTTTTATTTTTCACCCAATGATGATATGATTGATGGCCAACTTTCGTTTTTTTTGGGGGGGATTCGTCAGGTCCCTGCACTCCGTCGCCAAATACTGCTCCAAGAAGCTGCCGGCCAAGTGCGCGGTGCTCGCCGTGGACAGCGGCAAGATCGTGTTCAGGAGAGAATCCAATGTCCACTCAGGCAAGGTCTCCGCGGAGATTCCTGGATGTGGTGATAATGAGTTGTATTGCGAGGTGCCGTTCCTAGCCCGTCAGTGTAAAGAGGAACCTTTACCTTTACATGAACCACCCAGAGATGGTGGTGGTAGTGCGGGCGAGGAAGAAGAAGAGCACGATGTTGGCACAAAGGAGACCGAGCCGGTGAATGCCGTCTCCGGTGAACAGCAGCCTTCCGGTGTGGATCCTGCTGAGTTGTCTCCGGATCAGGTTCAGGGTGATGTTGATCCATCTGACAAGGGTGAAGAGTCGACTGCCGACCAGAAAGATGAGATTTCTGAGCTTCCGGGTGAGGGTGCTAGTGTTTTGTACTGTGTGTTACCAGAGAGGAATGGCCATTCAGCTGCAAGCACGTCCAGTCGGCAATCCAATGATTCGACCGAGCCACCGACTGAAGGGAATGGGGAGCTGTACTGTATTTTGCCCCCAAGAAATGATCATTCAGGCAGGAGTAGCGGTGATTCTAGCCGTTCAACTGCGAGTCGGAAACACGATGATTCTGCCAGTCTGTCTGCTGAAGGAGATGGTGAACTGTACTGCCGATTGCCAAGGACTGGCCATTCAGGTAGAAGTTCTGGGGGATCAAAGCGTTCCTTCGGTGCAAAAGGTTTGATTAGGCGCAGCAGTAGTTTCTCCAGTGATATTCAAAAGGATGTCTCAGTTTGCACGACTACAACTGAACAGACTTCGTCCATGGTATCTACAGAAGCTGAGGATTCACCAAAGAACGCTGCACGTGATGTCGATACACCCTCCAGCTCTCCAATGTCTCTAAGAAGGATGATAGAGGGAAGGCCCGACCGCTGTCGACTTCGAAGGAGGATCTTCAATCATCAAAGAAGCTCATCTTTTGAATGGGCCAAAATTTCCATGGTTCAGTGGGCAATGAGGCTTCCAAGCCGTTATACTTCAGTTGCAGACAACAAATCATTTAAATCAGATGCAAGTCCAAGGTTGAATTGTGATTCCGAATGTGAATCCACTTCAGCTGTTGACACAGAATCTATGTTTTCGTTCTCTTTATATGATATATCATGGCCTCCAAATGAAGTGGAATCGCTTCAAGAGAAGTACTCTTCAACGTGTAGGCTGTTTACCTATGAAGAGCTGAAACTTGCTACGTCAAACTTCTCACCAGGTAATGTCATTTGGGATGTGCATTACTTTGATTCACAGGCTTTTTGGCAAAGTTGTCTGCTGATTTTCTTTTACACCAATGCAGATATGTTAATTGGAAAGGGAGGAACAAGCCAAGTTTACAAGGCACAACTATTTGATGGCACATTATCAGCTGTAAAGATTCTGAAACCTTCAGTTGATGCAATACAAGAGTTTGTTACAGAGGTGGAGATTGCAACCAGCTTGCAACATGACAATATTGTTTCACTAAGAGGATTCAGTTCTGATAACTACAGTCTTGTGTTGGTATATGATTACATGCTCCAGGGAAGCTTAGACAAAGCACTTCATGGTAATCCTTAAAATGAAATACTTTGCATATTTATTCCCTGACCTTATTGATAGCTCATCTCTTACTTTGTGATTGACTGGTTGTAACTGCTCTTCAGGCAAGCATGACAGCAAGGATAGCCTTAGCTGGGAGAAGAGAAACAAAATAGCAATTGGCATAGCAAAGGCACTTGAATATCTACATCATGGAAGTGTCACCCAATCTGTGATTCATGGAGATGTTAAGTCTTCGAATATCCTCCTCTCAGAGGATTTTCAGGCACAGGTAAATAACCATAAGAGATTTGCAAATACTGAAATACCTGAAGCAATTATAGTTTTTTCTTCATACAGTAAATATTTTTTTCAGATCAAAGCAAGTGCTTTAATGCGTTAGCAGTGACGAATTACATTGAGTATTTGGTAGCCTTACTAGTTAATTTTGATTCTGCTTATGACATCATCTCTTTTGAAATTTCCAGCTTTGTGATTTTGGGTTGGCAAAGCAAGTCTCAGCTTCAACCCCCCACCTAACATGTACTGACATCACGGGAACGTTTGGGTAAGTACCATCTCTATGCTATTTTTACCAGCTATTGCTACTTTTATCAAGTGTGAAATGCCTAAGCAAACTACTCCTGTGACAGATACTTGGCTCCCGAGTATTTTTCGCACGGGAAGGTCAATGAGAAGATTGATGTCTATGCATTTGGAGTTGTAATTCTGGAGATTATTTCAGGAAGAAGACCTATTAGAACAGGATGTTCAAAGGGTCAGGAAAGCCTAGTTGGATGGGTGAGTGATCCTTAACCCCCTATATGCCTGGCTGGCTTGCTCTGAGCAGTAACATGCCCTGAGCCAAGAACAAAATGGTAGTTGCACGTTCAGTCACTGTTGGAATTAAAGCTGTCTAGGACCATTGCTGCATTTTTTTTGCTCTGTTGACCACACAATCACTCCTGCACGAGCGAGTTATTAATTATTTTTTCTTTTTGCTAATTCTTTGTTGACGGATTCAGGCAAAGCCATTACTATCAAGTGGGGAAATTAAACAATTGGTTGATCCATTCTTGGGAAATGATTATGACTGTGATGAAATGGAGAGGATGACTCTCGCAGCTTCGCTGTGCACAAGGACATCTTCTCATTCCCGACCCGAAATGTCACAGGTAAGAACCTGAACAAATTACATGTACAAATACTTAAAAAGTCTTGATGATTGACCTCAACTTGCTATGTTCTGGCAACACAGATGTTGAAACTGCTTGAAGGAGACGACGAGACGATCCACTGGGCAAGAACCCAGGTCACCGCGAGCTTCGACGGATCGGACGAGGAGGCTGTGGCGGCTCCTGACTCAAACATGCAGTCACACCTGAACCTCGCGTTGCTGGGCGTGGAGGATGACACCCTCTCGCACTGCAGCACTGAACAGACCATGGACACTTCAGCTGACGGGTACTGGAGCCGGTCATCGAGCTTCGACTAACCTCCTGCTTTTTTCTTAACCACCATTTGTTCTGATTTTGAGCCATGTGAATGGGGAGCTGTGTGTATAGAGTCTCTCAATTCTCATAACTTTGCTGCTGCTGTTGTGTCGATTGGTTGGAATGGTGAATGCAAATTGAAAGGAAGTGGATGATATGCACATTCGGATGGCAGATGTAGTAGCTTAGGAATTGTGGTAGATCTAACCCTGCTGGCCTTTGGCCCTACTTGGTAGGAGTATGTATCACTGATGGGCTTCATGGTGCATCAAGATTTGATTCTTTTCCAAGTTGCTTTTGTTTTGCTTTTCCTCTCAGATGCCATGCCATGACAGGCTGCCTGTCTCAGATGCTCATCTAACACCACCATTTGATGAAGAACATACTACACATACTGTATGTGTGAATTGGCCAGCCACACCATTAGTAGTAGGTTTCTCTCTCACTGAGACATATGATGTAACTGATCTTGTCAGCTACTGTACAGCAAAGATCTGGTTTGCAGTTCCAGGTGTAAATGTAACATGGCATGACGAAACGCCGTTCTTGATGTACTGTTCTCAGTACAGGAATGGCTGGGCCAGTTCAGACAAAACCAGAGTCTCATGAATACAGGACTGACACCGCATGCTCCCTACCGGAGCTCTCTTCGCATCAACACATGTGAGCCTTGTCTCTCTGTCAAACTCTGAAGTTTCAGGACACCTCCAATACAAAGGATGCTACTGGGGTAAACCTAACACTTGCAAATTTTGCATCATTCAGATATGACTAGCCTGTGGCCCGTACGTTGCAACGGAAAACAAATTGAGTTTCTAACTTATTAAATCAATTAATAAGCACTTATAAGTAATACTATGATTTCTTTTTATTAAACAAGTAGATGATTTTAAAATTCGGGGGAACTAATAGTATAGAGAGGATTTGTTGAAACGTGGTGCAATAGTATAGATCGTGGGGGTCAGATATTTCTAGTAGGAGTGCTGTGAAAATGGACATCATCAAACTGAGAAGAGTGTTACAAGATCATTTGGGCCTCAGTTCACTGGGCGGTTGGATAACAATTGGGCCTAGCTATTTGCCCATCATCAACTGCAACTGATCTGGCCCAACCTAGTAACCGGCCCATGTCCTCTCAACAAGACCTCCAAAAACAAAGTCCTCAGGAAGACAAAAACACTAGTTCATATGATTCCAGATAGATATGTTCCGGAGTGATCTCTAGGAGAAGCAGCAAATAATATGCTATTACCTGTTAGTATCATGTATGATGTATCCATTTATTTATTATTAAGAGTTGGTGCCTAGTATTCCTACTATCTAAGATAATAAGTATGCTCCAGCGAACTTGATCTGAGTTATCGGAGCGATGACATTTGGAGCACAAGACAACAAGCAAGGCAGCTTGAAATATATTCATTACTACTACATAAATATACTGAATGGCACCATCAAACAGCTTGTTCCTCGCTGGATTGATCAACTGATAGCTTCCTATTTGTCCTCCTCTGCATCATGCTCGTCATTTTGCAGCTAAGTCCTCACAAAAAAGAGAGAGGAACTTTCCATCAAACAGCCCGTTTGGAGACTAAATTGCAACTCTACAGAACAGTTATTATCGGTTGATCGGGAATGAACCATATTTACCCATTTTAATTGTTACTTCGTCCTAAAATATAATATAAGAGATGCTGTGCACGTAATTATATGAGAAAATCTCTTATATTTTAAAACAGAGGTAATATTTAGGGCTGATTATAATATATACAATGCTAAACTAAATTTTATATAGGATGAGAGTTAGAAACAATACCATGTTTTACTGAAACGATGCTCGGACGGTTGGTTGGGAATTTCCGTCACCGTTTTAATCCCGATCGTATATGTTCAAATCTGCGTATGCATCGACCGATCCGCACATTAATTGTGATTGTGTGGACATTCTCAATTCTGACTGCCAAAATCACGCAGCACCACTACAGTGAACCTTCTACTTGACTACTTTTATACATGCATGGTTGCTAATTGCATGGTCCGATCTGTAAGCAGCTAGCTGTAAACACGATCGTTTTATTTATTCAAGAGCGATTAGTGATTACCAGTACTGCTAATCACTCTCATCGACTGTACTGATGCTGTCAACAGCCACTGCAATTAATTTTCTCGCTGGTAATTAACTTGCATGTGCACGTCGCTTGCCTGTAAAAAATTTCCAAGAAAGCGAGGTGCCATGTGCAAATAATGGCTTTCGCTGCACATAAAAACGCAAGAATTAAACGTCGAGTGATCAAGCTCTGGTTGGTGACGCCAATGGCGTTGGACGAGTCGTTCAAGAGGCCGGGCACCATCCCGTTCAAGTGGGAGCTCCAGCCAGGCGTCCCGAAGCAGCAACCACACCACGGCGGCGGCGGCGCCGCCGTCGGAAGTAGCAGTGCATCTTCTTCTCCGGCGCCGGCGCCGGCGGCAGCATCGACGCTGCTGCTCCCGCCGAGGCTCCTCGCGCCTCCTCCTGCAGCCGCGGCGTCCCATGGCGGCTGCGACACGGGGGCGAACATTCTCGCTTCGACGACGACGCCGTCGCCTTCGTCGTCGTCTCACCGGCGGTCCATGTCTGCGCGGTTCACGGCATCGCTGGTGCTGCCGTTCACGCGGCCGCGGCGGGGACGGTCAGCCAATTCAAAGGACGAGGACGACATAGCCTTCACGGTGCTCTATGGCGACAAGATTGTGTAAATATTCATACTCCCTTTATCCCAAAATGTTTGACGCCGTTGACTTTTTTAAAAATATTTGACTGTTCGTCTTATTTAAAAAAATTTAAATAATAATTAATTCTTTTCCTATCATTTGATTTATTGTTAAATATACTTTTATATATACATATAGTTTTACATATTTCACAAAAGTTTTTGAATAAGACAAATGGTTAAACATACTTTAAAAAGTCAACAGCGTCAAACATTTAGGGAAGTAAGGAATATTTTGGGTCTATTTTCAAAATAAATTTTATTAAAGGTCGATTTGTCAGAATTTCGGCTGTTTTGATGTATATATGTGCTTTACGTGTCTAAATTCATAGAATAGAGAGTACTAAAGTAAGCACTGAGCACTGAGGCATCATTTCCTTCATTTCGGTTTCGAAAGGAGGTTGGAAAGAGACAATTGGAGCATTATGCATTTAATTACAAACTCTACACTGCGTAATTGCCAGAGTTAAATGAGTGTGTAGTGTACTGTGACAATAATTGAACTTTTAAATTGCAGCACTAAATAGATCATATTAGTCATTGCTTTGGTGACGCTGATGAATCAGTAGAACATAGATAATCCTCAGCACAACATGGTAGCATGGCAATCTGTTTCAACACAGATTTTCCTACCTTCCCCCTCTCCCCGCACTGGCATGGTGTTTTGCTAACACGGCTAAGCGCCTGAAGAGTTGGAGTGACCGTCACATCGGCAGCGTCCGTCTCCAACTGCAGATGGCGAAGGAGAACGTCTTCCGGTTTGACGTCGCGCAAGAGAACCGGTCTCTCTCCCCCTGGAGACTTGGTTGCAGCGGGATTTGAAACTGAAGTGCCTTGGGCTAGCTTGCCTCGCTCGAGCCCGCTAGCGTTCGCGTCTGATCTGGCTCAAGGAGGGTGACAGAAACACCATGTTTTTCCACCTGCACGCTAGAGCCCGAAGGCGGAAGAACTTCATCACACGTCTTCAAGATGGGGACCAACTTGCCGTCTCCCACGATGAGCTTCAGGAGCTTGCCTCTTCTCACTTTGGCGCTATCTTGGGGACGTCTGTTGAGCGCGATTTCGCCCTTGACCTCCACTCCCTTGGTCTCTGCCCTGCGCATCTTGGGGGGCTGGACAACCCTTTCTCGGAGGAGGAGGTTTGGGCGGTGGTCAAGGCCTTACCTTCTGACAAGGCGCCCGGTCCGGATGGGTTCACGGGCCGGTTCTACAAGACTTGCTGGTCGGTGATCAAGCCAGAGGTCATGGCGGCTCTCAACTCCCTCTTTCTCGCTAACGGTCGGGGGTTCTCCTCCCTCAATGATACCCTCATCTCCCTTCTGCCAAAGAAGGACGAGGCTGTTGACGTCAAGGATTTCCGACCGATTAGCCCCATCCACAGCTTTGGGAAGTTGTTCTCCAAGATCCCGGCTTCCCGTCTCTCTCCTCACCTTGGCGAGCTTGTGGCGCCCAATCAGAGTGCCTCGTCAAAGGCCGATCCCTTTCATGACAACTTCCGCTATGTTCAGCTCGCGGCCAGGGCTCTCCACGCCAAGCATATCCCCCGCCTCCTTCTTAAGGTGGACATCGCCAAGGCTTTTGACACGGTCAGCTGGCAGTTTCTACTTGAGATGCTCGCCCACCTGGGGTTCAGTCAGCGCTGGCGTGATTGGATTTTCCTCATTCTTGGTGCCTCCTCTTCCCGGGTGCTGATCAATGGGGTGCCGGGGCCTTGTTTCCCGGTCTTCGGCAGGGAGATCCTCTCTCTCCCATGCTCTTCATTCTGGTCATGGATGTGCTCAATACGATGCTCCGCAAAGCCTCCGAGTCAGGCGGGTTCCTTCCGCTCAACGACCATGCCTCCCTCTACGCTGATGACTTGGTTCTCTTCCTCTCCCCGGTTCGTCAGGATCTCGAATTCATCCAGGGTATCCTCTCTATCTTTGGTGCAGCATCCGGGCTTCGCACTAACTTTGCCAAGTGTTCGGTTACTCTGATCCGCTGTTCGGCGGAGGACCTGGACCTGGTGCAGTCCTGCTTTCCCCGCTCAATCTCAGATTTTCCCTAATCCTATCTCGGCATTCCGTTGTCCATTCGCAAATTGCCGAAGGCGGCCCTGCAACCTCTTGTGGACAAAGTTTCCCATCGTCTTCCGCCCTGGAAGGGACAACTCACCACTCTGGTTAGCCGCTCTGTGCTGGTCCAGTCTGTTCTCTCCTCCATTCCGGTCCATGTGTCTATGGTGATCGGTCTTCCCGCCTGGATGATCAAGGCCATTAACAAGAAGCGCCGCGCCTTCTTGTGGACGGGTACAGACTCGGCTCATGGAGGGTAGTGCCGGGTGTCTTGGACGAATGTCTGTCGTCCCAAAGCTTTCGGTGGGTTAGGAATTCCTGACCTGAAGTTGGCAGGGTTTGCCCTGTGAGTTCGTTGGCTTTGGCTCCAACACTCAGGGAATCCTTACTGGGACGGCCTGAAAGCCCCAGCCGAGCGAGCCGTCACTGACATGTTTCAGGCGTCCACCTTCTTCGTGCCGGGTGATGGTGAGTCGATTCTCTTCTGGTCTGACCAATGGATCGGTGGCCGCTCTGTTGCCTCCTTGGCTCCAGATCTCCTCTTCGTTGTGCCCCCGCGTCTGCGTGGTTCGCGCACGGTTTCTTCTGGCCTGGCGAACAACGCTTGGATTTCTGACATCCGCGGGGCCCTCACTGTCCCGGGCATCTCCCAGTTTCTTCTTGTCTAGGACGCGGTGCTTCACTTCCAACTTTCACCGGGTGTCGGGGATCTGTTGACGTAAAAATACGAGGCCTGGGGGATCTACTTAACTCCAGTGCAGGTCCAAAACTCGCCTTCGGGTATGCTAGCGTGCCAGTTGATTTGATCCTGCAATCAACAAGAAACAAAGACAAAGAAACCGCGGTTAAATCCATAAACGATAGCCGATCGGCTAGGTGCCGATGACATATCATTTATCTTTGAGCCGATGTCACATATGCATCGATCGGCAGTCATAAATAAGTAAGGAAGAACTAAATCTACTCGATCGGCTGTAGATATTAACAATATATAATCCCCGTGTCGATATATACATAAATCAAGTGATTGGGATAGATTGGTCGCCATGCCGAGACAATATAAATCACTTAGATCAAAATATATATTAACAACAAGACTATATACGTTCATAGCATAGCCGATCAGATAGATCTAGCATGTATCGGCTAATATTCCGATACAACTCTATACTAGGATATCAAAGCAAATAGGATATATTAAACAAAGGCCTAATATACTTAAATGCAACAAGATCTTAATATAAATGGCAGATTTAACATATCAGCGAAGCATATAGAGTAAATATAGTTAAATCAGGTAAGATCGGCTGAAACCCCGATACTACCCTAATCGGCAACCAAGAAGCAGGCTAGAGATTGAGATTCTAATCACGACTTATAAGATCAAACTCAACTGATGCAGCTATAAGTATGAAAAGAATGACAATATCTAGACAATCAAGCCATTGGAAGTTTCATAGAGTGGTGGATATCCTATATAATCTAAGTCAACATCGATATCTAACCTAATCGGCTGCCCTCTTCCGACAGATGTTAGCCGATTATAGGTTAGATAGCGATATTGCCGGAGATTATGTAAGATATATGATAACTCGACAAATTACATAAACAAGATTAGAGTATCATAAAGATGGAAGCACTAATCCCGAGAACGCAAGCCACCATAACAAGTTTTACCTCTTGTTGAAGATCGAAACCGATGCAGCTCAACCCGAAAGCAAGAACTCGTCGAAACAAGACGAAAGTAAAAAGGGTGGCGATGCGCCGAGATTGTATTGAACGTGTGTTAATTTGATTACATGGGGCTCGGGGTCTATTTATACCCGAGAATTACAAAACATGTCCATATCAAACACGACTCTTATCTCTAACAAACTCTAAGATACCATAAGTATTTGCGGCAAACTTTTGCCCACACTTATCTCTAAGGAAATTACATAAAATATCCTAATTAATAGATACAATTGCCTTCTTAGGACTCTATCCATGTGCGGCAATCATCACGAAGTGCATCAACCTAAACCGACAACGTATGCCATGTCATGCTGTCAGATTTGGCTCAATCGGCTAACCCATCTGACCGAACTCTGCCGATTTCAGTCGTAGCCGATTCAGATTCTAGCTGATCCTTACTCTGTTTCCGGAATGATTTCAATCTTGATTCCTTCTCGATTTCTTCCTCATCTCTGATCCCTGGATTAGCAAATTTGGTCGTTAACAGGATCGTCTTGTCTGGCGTTGGACGAGTGACCAGCGCTACTCGGCGCATTCGGCGTACCAGGCGTTCTTCCTTGGCCAGCACTCCTTTGCTTGTGTCGATCTTCTCTTGAACGCGAAAGGCCCTGCTAAATGCAAATTCTTCCTCTGGTTTGCATTCCAGCAGCGCTGTTGGATGGCTGATCTCCTCCAAAAGCGTAGCATCGATAGCCACTCGACCTGCCCCTTTTGCGCTCAAGAGCTCGAGACAGCGAACCACATCCTCCTCGACTACGTTTTCGCTCGTCAGGTCTGGTTACGGGTGCTGTCGCCTCCTGGCTGGAATGCCCTCTCGCCCCCCGTGGCAGCTGGCTCCAGGACTGGTGGCCATCTTCCAAGGCTGGTTTACCTGATCACCTCCGTGCCAGCTTCGACTCCCTGGTCCTCCTGGTCTTGTGGCAGCTATGGAAGGAACATAACTCCGGGGTGTTTGACTCTGCGCTCTCTTCGGTCTCAGTGGTCCTAGAGTCCATCCTGTCGGAGGGCCGGTTGTGGTCGTTAGCGGGCGTTGCTTCCTTTAGGGACTTGTTGGGAGTGTAGCATGACTCTGCCCCCTCCCGTTGTTTAGAGTAGCGTTCAAGTTTTTCTTTTTCTTTTTTCTCTTCGTTGTTTTTTGACTTTGCGTTTTTTCCCCTTCCTTGGCATAAGCCGGTCTGGCCAATTGCAGTGTGTAACAAAAACTCTATTCCTCTAATATATTGACGTGCAATCTTTTTGCGTGTTCGCGAAAAAAAATCAACATAAAGAAAAACTGATCTGAAGATAAGTCAGCCAACACATTGTTGGTAACAAATAAAATCACAAACGATAAGCCTAGATGCCTGGATAGGCAGCACCAGTGGCAGGTGAGGTCTTCAAAATAGCAATTGGCATAGCAAAGGCACTTGAATATCTACATAATGGAAGTATCACCCAATCTGTGATTCATGGAGATGTTAAGTCTTCGAATATCCTCCTCTCAGAGGATTTTCAGGCACAGGTAAATAATCACAAGAGATTTGCAAATACTGAAATACCTGAAGCAATCTCAGTACAGTAAATATTTATTTTCAGATCAAAGCAAGTGTCTTAATGCGTTAGCAGTGACGAATTGCATTGAGTATTTGGTAGCCTTACTAGTTAATTTTGATTCTGCTTATGACATCATCTCTTTTGAAATTTCCAGCTTTGTGATTTTGGGTTGGCAAAGCAAGTGTCAGCTTCAACTCCCCGCCTAACATGTACTGACATCACGGGAACTTTTGGGTAAGTACCATCTCTATGCTATTTTTACCTGCTATTGCTACTTTTGTCAAGTGTGAAATGCCTAAGCAAACTACTCCAGTGACAGATACTTGGCTCCCGAGTATTTTTCGCACGGGAAGGTCAATGAGAAAATTGATGTCTATGCATTTGGAGTTGTAATTCTGGTTCTGGAGATTATTTCAGGAAGAAGACATATTAGAACAGGATGTGCAAAGGGTCAGGAAAGCCTGGTTGGATGGGTGAGTGATCCTTAACCCCATATATGCCTAGCTGGCTTGCTCTGAGCAGTAACATGCCCTGAGCCAAGAACAAAATGGTAGTTGCACGTTCACGCACTGTTGGAATTTTTTGCTGCATTTTTTGCTCTGTTGACCACACAAGCACTCTTGCACGAGCAAGTTATTAATTATTTTTTCTTTTTGCTAATTCTATGTTGACGGTTTCAGGCAAAGCCATTACTATCAAGTGGGGAAATTAAACAATTGGTTGATCCATTCTTGGGAAATGATTATGACTGTGACGAAATGGAGAGGATGATGTTGGATTAGGCCTCCATTCTTTAGCTGATGACTGACTCTTGCAGCCTTGCTATGCACAAGGACATCTTCTCATTCCCGACCGGAAATGTCACAGGTAAGAACCTGAACAAATTACATGTGCAAAATACTTAAAAAATGTCTTGATGATTGACCTCAACTTGCTATGTTCTGGCAACACAGATTTTGAAACTGCTTGAAGGAGATGACGAAACGATCCACTGACCACTGGGCAAGGTCCCACGTCACCGCGAGCTTCGACGGATCAGACGAGGAGGCTGTGGCGGCTCCTGACTCAAACATGCAGTCACACCTGAACCTCGCGTTGCTGGGCGTGGAGGATGACACCCTCTCGCACTGCAGCACTGAACAGACCATGGACACTTCAGCTGACGGGTACTGGAGCCGGTCATCGAGCTTCGACTAACCTCCTGCTACTTTTTTCTTAACCACCATTTGTGATTTGTTCTGATTTTGAGCCATGTGAATGGGAGCTGTGTATAGAGTCTCTCAATTCTCATACCTTTGCTACTGCTGTTGTTGTGTCGATTGGTTGGAATGGTGAATGGAAAGAAAGTGGATTGGAGGATGATATGCACATTCAGATGGCAGAAGGCAGATGTAGTAGCTTAGGAATTGTGGTAGATCTAACCCTACTGGCCTTTGGCCCTACTTGGTATGTAGCACTGATGGGCTTCATGGTGCATCAAGATTTGTTTTGCAGCCAAATGAACAGACTCGGCACACTATTTTCGCAAATAATTTATTACTTGCTGAAAAATCCAAAAGGTGAGGATTTGATGTGGAAAAGAAAAGGCAAGTTTATAAATTTGGCTGCAAAAGTACAAAGTTTGTATTCCAAATGGTTTACTATTTTTGCAGCCAAACTCGAAATGAAGCTTAGCAATACTGCAAGTTTAGATTTCATAGAGTAAATGGTTTACTATTTATTTTGAGGGATGATGGTTTACTCAGGCACCAGTAATACAAAGTTTGTGAATTGTGAAGGAAATCCAAGAAGAATAGGGATTAGGGAACTTGTCTATCCCCTCAACCAGTCCCTCCCTGTCCCTCGTCCTATTACCCAAATGAACATCACCATAGTTGATACATAGTTGAGAGGTGAGAACTTGTGCGAATGGAAATGTTGGTAGTTCCATACTAAAGTACAGATCAAAATCCCCATTGCATCAGTTGCATGCCAAAGATCGATGGCGGTACTTAAACCCTAATAATCCTCCTCGAGCAGACTGAATCACCAGACAAGAGAGCGATAATCCACTAAAATTGCCAGTTTAGTAGATAACTGCAAGCTAGGAACGGAGCACGGCTACAAGAAGCAAAATCGATGAAGAAACCAAGAGAGCAGGCCTAAACCTAGGGTGGTTATGGGTAGAGAAGAAGAGGAAAAGGGATGAACGGTCTTGGAGGCGTCGGCGAGGACGGCGGAGGTGTCCACTCCGTCGAGGTTCACGTTGGTGGAACACGTTGAGGCAAGGCATCTTTCCTTCTCCGATTCCGAATCCCTCGTCATCGTTTCCCTCCTCTTAATTCCTGCTGCAGAAAAACTAACCTACGGTATCCCGTCCGGGGGAGTGGGGACGGGATACATAATGAGCTCTCATCGTCCTTATCCGTCCGCATCCTTTTCCACCTTACTCAATCCCCAATCTCCCTGTCGCTTTTCTAGTTGCCCATACGCCTCTCATCCACCACCGCTCTTCTCCTTCCTCTCCTCTTCTTCCGGCACCGCCCTTCTCCTTCCTCCCCTCTTCTTCCTTACTTGGCTGGAAGCCTGAAAATAGGTTGTGCTCCTTTCTCTTGCTCACCTACCCTCCTGCTCTGTCCCCCCTCACCATCAAAGAGTCAAGGAGGGCGCTGCCAATATCAGATCTGGAGATACCTAGGGCCTTTCCATCATTGGATCCGCTTGAGCCATGTCAGTGATGAGGTGATGGATCGCACTAGCCCCCGTGGCCTCCACCTCGGTGTCATGCCGTTGGGGAGGATGCCGATCGATGCGAATCCTCCTCCCACGCTACTGTTAGTGGTGATGGAGGGGAAACAAATGAAGGTGCTAGATCTGAAGTTTCGATTGACAATCGACGTGGTGCTGCAGACATTGGCTGCTTGTTGACATTGTGCGCAGGTATGTCGTGTGTGCGGCATATCACCATGGCTTAGCTGGTACCTACAAGTACCAGGCACGGTACCTGTGGTAATGTGGTATCATGGTTGATACCTACACAGGGCTGGTACCTGTGGTATCATGGTTGATACCTACAGGTACTAGACCTGGTGCCAATGGTATCATGGTTGATACCTACAGGTTTCAGATCTGGTACCTGTGGTATCATGGTTGATACCTACAGGTTTCAGACCTGGTACCTATGGTATCATGGTTGATGTCTCGGGTACCAGCTGATACCTATAGGTGCTAACCGATAACCCATAGGTACTAAGTACGAGGTATCAAGGTATCGGGAGAGAACGTACGTTGTTGCCTCTTGGCTGGGTGGTGAGCCATCTACCACCAGCGTTTTGTCTCGTCTTCTCCCTTCCATTCCTTTCACTATCACCATCCTTTTTCTTCTCAATGTGGTGTTGATACAAGGGTCATCATGCTATTGCAGGGACCAACTTTGTCACCTAATCCACTATTAGTGTCGTGTCCTTCTCCTAGCGCCTCACGCGTGCTCTTCCACCGGCTGTGGCGTGAGCGTGTAGGGCGGTGCTAAGTCGTGGACTCATGAGTGGATAAAGCTGAGGCGGAGCTGACATCATCAATATAAAGTATCTTGTTTGGACGGGATACCGTACCCTAGCAGACCTCTTACTGCTGCTGCTGTGCCTCTACTCCCCTCCCCTCCGCTCTATCCATTCCAACCGCGCACAGTATTATTGGGCCTGGCTTGGAGCTTATTGGGCCTCTAGCTATGATTACAACTGGCCCATAGCTTTCCTGTGCAATTGGTCTGCATCTTCGTATATGTTGATGCTGGCATGCTGCCGATCCTTACCAATATATATATATATATATATATATATATATATATATATATATATATATATATATATGAATCGAATACATATAACTAGATATATACTCACAATTTGAAAATTTTGAAAAAATTGGGCGAATTTGTGTATTGCCCCATATGAGTGTCCTATATATATATATGTAATATATATATATATATATATATATATATATATATATATATATATATATATATATATATATATATATAACTGGTGCTACATGGAGTATGGGCTCCAAGATTCAAATTGAGTATATACCCAATTTGAATGAGTATGAAATTTTTTTAAATGTTTAGATATGAACATTAACTTCTTTACTAACAAGTTTGAACTGAGTTTGAACTTTTTTTTTGTTAGATTTTGGTTCTAGGTATATAACATCCAAACATATAATTCGTTAGGTATATAATAATGAATTGTGAAATAAAGTTGAGTTTGAGTTGTTTTGTTGTTAGGTATTTGTATGAATCGAATTCATACAAATGAATTTGAGTTTGAGTTGTTTTGATACCATGGTGCCCGGGCACCATGGTGCCCCATATGGGTATTATATATATAGTAGTTTTGACGAAGTCGCGGCTGACATGAGCCTGACGAATGGCGTGAGAGCTCCTCGCCCTCTGCAGCATCATCGACGCCCCTCCATCGGCTGCGGTGAAGAGGATGGTACGCCTCGCCATGAAGACCCCGGTGCAACGCCTGGCCAAGGCCAAACGAAGCATCTCCTTGGGCAGCAAGGCCATGGCGCGCCATGGCCTTGCTGCGGTTGCTCGAAGGCGCGCGCTCGTGGCGGCGGCTAGGGTTTAGGCTCGAGGGGGAGGAGAGCAACGAGGAAAAAAGAGATATCCCGTCCGTATATATATGGGTGCCAACTTCACGGGCCAGACTGGGCCGTCTGTATCTTCTGTCTTCGACTGGGCCGCTTTTCCCAGCAAATTCCCCTCGTTTCCTAAAAGGAATAAGTTCACTTTGACTCCCTTAACTAGTGACAAAATCTGATTCATAACCTTGAACCACAACTATTAAAAGGGTGTAACTTGACTCCCTCGACGGTCTTAGAGAGTGATTTTGCTTATGTGGCGCCTAGGTGGCGGTGTTGACCTTGTCTTAGTTACACGTGGCGTTGATGTGGCGCTTATGTGTCATTAAAATTAAAAATATATGTGTGGGACCCATTTGTCATCTTCTCTCATTCCCTTCTTCCTCATCCCTCTCTCTTCCTTCTCCCTCTCTTGTGCTTCAATAGGGAAATTTTATGCTAAGCTAACGACCTTAACCAGGTATGAGCAGGGACCGGATCGACGGCGGCGGCGGCGGGTTACGACCACCACCAAGCCGATAAGGAGGAGGACGACGACTACGGTTGTGACTACCTCTTTAGGTCATCCGTTGCGACAAGGATGATCTCATCTCGCGGTTCATGGACGTCGCCATGTGCGACAGTCGAGACGCTGCCACTATCACCTCAACTCTTGACGACAGCCTCAACGAAGTCGTTGGCCTTTACTTCGCGGCCGCTGCGGAGAAACTCATCCGCCCGTCCTTCGTGAGGCTGAGTGGCCACCGTCCTAGACGCTGATCGCCGCCCCTTGTTCGACTGCAGCCCGGTGAGAGCTCGCCACCATCCACCGCTGCTACTACCCTCGTCCTCCTGCTGCCGTGAGCCTCCATGAGGCTGAGCCACCACCGTCCTCCTTGGCTCTGTCGTCCTAGCCGCACGACCGCGACCCTTGGTTCTGCTGTGTCCTAGTGGAAGCTCGCCTCCAACCGCCGCCGCTCCGCTATTCCTTCTGCTGCCATTGATCTGGTCCCCGCTCCCCCACGTACTCCCTCCATCCCAAAAAACACAACCTAGGATGGGATGGGACATATTCATATTCTAGTACAACGTATCTGGACATAGATACGTTATACTAGATTATGTCCCATCCCATCCTAGGTTGTGTTTTTTTTAGGACGGAGGGAGTAGGTCTGAAGGGGAAGAGAAAGGGGATAGAAAAATGAGGAGAGAGGAGGGAAGAGGAAGAAAGGAAGGAGAGAGGATTATATGTGGGCCCCACATGTTAGTGTGTCCCACAATATTTTGTAGTGTGAATGATAAATGTGTCACACATATATATTTTAGTTCTAATGTCATATAATCGCTACATCAATGCCACGTAGAACAATGACCAGGTCAACACCATCACATAGGCACCACGTCAGCGAAACCATCCTCCAAAACTACCGAGAGAGTTATATTGCACCGATTTTAACAATTGAGGCGTCAACATATTCGGTATTGTGGTTTAGGAATATGAATTAGATTTGGCCACAAGTTAAGAGAGTCGAAGTGAACTTATTCCTTCCTAAAATAAAACGATCGTCGATTTGTATGGTTTATACCTTTTGCTCAAGCATCATCTACATACAGAAGTATTTTTTTTCTTTTTTTTCCTTTAAGTTCAGTATAGTATAGTGTTGATTCAGCGTTCAGTTGCATCATTTCATTTCGCTTTACCAGTTAAGATTGTCGATGCCTGTTCTGCAAATATTGAGCAAACAGTGAAACAAACGCCATATTTACCATCCCACGTTCTGAGGAACGCCAACAATACATGGAAAAGTTGCTAGTACAAATCAAACATCTTGCACATATTAGACGTGCAGTGATATACTAACAGGATAATTATGCCTTTGATTCCACAGTAGCCAAAATGGCGAGCACCAGCAAATTAAAAGGCAGTAAAATAAAAGAGAAAATAGTGTGAGTAGTTAAAGTGGTCCTCCAAGTTTTATCCGAGACTCAGTTTAATCCTTGATGTTTTAATCTATCCATATTAGTTCTTCAGGTTTTCATTTTAGTTCAAACTTATCCTTAGACCCACTTAGAAGCCATATGGCTAAACATAACCAACAACTCTCTTGATAAATGACACTTATATCCCCCATTTACATATATAAGAGAAAAAATTACATGCAATGGGTTTTTTTATAGATAATACATAGTAATTTATGTAAAGCAAAAATAAATTATGTACTTGCAAGTGTATATGATAGCTATTGTTTAAGTTTTATGTGCACATATTGAAATAATGGGAATTACATATGCAATGTTGTTTATTCATCTTGATTTTCTCTTTTTCTAGTGTATACTTGTATACAAATTAAGGGCAAAAGGGACATTTTCTAATATAAATATTGACTAGAAATAGTCATATAGAATATTATGTTGGGCCAAGATGATTTTAAGCCAAAATAAATACTTAGGGGATATATGTGGACAAAATAAAATATAGAGAACCAAATTGTGCCTCCAGTGAAAATTGAGGACTAATCTAGCTATTCACCCAAAATAAAACCCAACTTTTCCAGTCAAAATACAGCAGTATCTGAAGGCACTAACATTGGCTAGAGAACAAGGCCGTGTTTAGTTCCAAAATAATTTTTCAATCTTTCAACTTTTCCATCACATCAAAACTTTTCTACACATATAAACTTTCAATTTTTTCGTCACGTCGTTCCAATTTCAACCAAACTTTTTTAATTTTAATGTGAAACTAAACACAGCCCAAGAAAATTTTGAAATTGCAAGTCAATCTGCTGCGGAGAGCGGGGTCGTCTCGCCTGCCATCCTGGTGTCTAGCTCTACTGGCATCGCGTTTCTGGATAAGAGGCCATGTTTAATTCCAAAAAAAAAACTTCACGCTGACACATCGAATATTTGATACATACATGAAGTATTTAATATAGGAAAAAAATCAATTATACATATTGCGTGTAAATTGCGAGACGAATCTTTTAAGTCTAATTGCGCCATGATTTGACAATGTGATGCTACAATAAATATATGCTAATGACGAATTAATTAGGCTTAATAAACTCGTCTCATAGTTTACTGGCAGAATATGTAATTTATTTTTGTTATTAAACTACGTTTAATATTTTAAATATGTATCCGTATATTCGATATGACAATTAAACACGAAAATTTTCTCCAACTAAACGAGGTATAAATACACAGAGCACAATCTACCCTATGCCCCTTGATTTTGCTTGACGGAGGTCGCCAGAATATGTTAATGAGATCTTCAGGACCCTGTTCAGGAAAAAAAAAAGTTCTCAACTGCAGGAAAAACAAAGCTTCCTGTCCATACTCGAAGACTCATGAAATGATACATACCCGTGCAGCGGTTACTACGAAATTGAAGAGAATAAGGGCCTCATCGAATGGCTATATGCAGAAAATTTGGCATATTAGCAAAATAAAATAATTTGTGATTAAAATTTTTACATTTATGTTTGTAACGACTTAAATCATAATATTGTAAAAGAAAACTATGATAAAAAAATCAAATATAAATTTAAAATTAAGTTTAAAAAATTAAATTTTGACATTGGTATATGTTGATTGGGCCAAAAGATGAGAGCCTTACATAGGAGCCAATCACCAGAAGGAACAGCAGATCAAAAGTAACACTTGCACCCTGCGAATTGGAGAAACAAGTCAAAGAATGTATGAGGTTATTTCAATGTGTTGATATCTTACGGAAGTCCCTTTGAAATGAATTATCTCTTACTGGTAAGCAATTCGTAAAGGAATGCATTAGCAGAATATTATAATATGAAACAAGAAGTCACAAAGCAGGGCATATGCTTTCCAAAATAAGCTTAGGTCCTATTTAGACCCTGGCAAAATTTTTCGCCTTATCACATCAAATGTTATGACACATAAATAGGGTATTAAATATAAAAAAAAACTAACTAAACAGATTGCGTGTAAATTATGAAATGAATCTTTTAAGCCTAATTGTTCTATGATCCGACAATGTGGTGCTACAGTAAACATTTGCTAATGACGAATTAATTAGGCTTAATAAATTCGTCTCAAAGTTTACAGGCGGATTCTATAATTTGATTTGTTATTAGTCTACGTTTAATACTTTAAATATGTATCCGTATATTCAATGTGACACGCCAAAATTTTATACCTATGGATCTAAATACAGCCTTATTAGACCATTCCGTTGTGAGATTTGATTATTCTACCCAAACTGAACAAATGACACAAAGCTTACACGCTTACCTGATATGGGCGACACTTCGGTGCATAGTATAATACTACCGGTAGAACTAATCTGAACCCTTTATTTTTATTTAAGGATAGGCTAGCAAAAGTGCCCGTACGTTGCACCGGGAAGCGCATATATCAAAAAAATATACAATTAATTAAAATACAAATTCACTGAAATATTTGGTATTTTTAAGTAGGTATGTGTATAATTAAATAAATTTACAAGTAAAGCAAGTGTGAGAAATAAAATGACATTGTTAAATTTAATTTTATTAAATTCTCAATGATTAGTTACGCTCTTTGAAATTTTATTAGAATTTTCAGAGCTTAATTGCTAATTTTAATAATACAAACATCATTTAATAATTATTTAATTGGAAAAAGAAAGAAAATCCTTTCTTTTAGGTTTGCTTAGAAATAAACACATTCAATAATTGTAAATGCTTCTGAAGGCCCGAGGGACCTAATATAGACTTATTTCCGTCCCTTGCCGGTCGGCCCACGGCCTTATCAAAACCCGAATCCAAAAAGCAGAGTCGCCGCTTCCTCATCCGCGACTCCGGCCAACGGTTGCGCTTGTAGGAGTATATCGCGTTCCCTTCCGCCGACGGCGAAACTCTCCGGCGCCCCCTCTCCTTCCGTTCCTCTTCGCCTCCTCCATTAATCGGCGTCAACCCACTTCTCCGCCGTGTGTGCGTACGTGCAGGAGCGACTGCTGTGGAGAGCGCGACTCCGGCCGCTGGCGTTGGATGCGCGCGCAGTGCCTTCCGCGTGCGCCCGATTTGCGTCGGCAGCGCCCACTTCGGAGGCCGCTCTGACGAATTCCGGCGCCGCCTTCACGATCCCCGTCCGCGTGCGGCCGAGACCTGCGGCGGCGCCAACCTCGGAGGCCGATTCGTTCCATTCCTGTGCAAGTCTCGTGCGCACGACGAGTACTGCGAAGAACAACCCTTGCCATCACATCCTCAGGTTTGCTGTCCGGTTTTTTATTGATTTGCCTTATATTCGTTTAACATTGTTTACCTGCTAAGATAATTGCAAGGCCAACAGTGAGTTGCTTGGGATTAGCTCTGCATTTTTAGGTGAAGGAAATCTGTGTTTCATTTGAGAACAATTAATCCCAAACTTTGGTTGCAGCATGTAGCGATGGTAGTTTTATAGTATATTAGTTTTGGCAGTCTGATCACAGTGTGTATTGAAAATATTTGGTTAAATTTTTCACCAATTAACGTTCCATTTTTTTTTCACAAATTCTTATTTTCAACCCAAGTTCATGTTCGAATAGCAATGTAGTGTGAGCATAAATCCTTGGTAATGAGCAGACATTTGTTTTCTTCTTATGCACGAACTGATTCAGTTTCTATGCTTAGATAGCTCTGAAAAGACCTATATATGATCAATTGTGATGTACACTGGGATATTATACCTTGATTCTTTTATTAACCTTATTTAAGAAACTATATATGATAAAGATTTAGACAGGGGACACTTTGTGAAGGATGCAATTTCAGTCATCTCAAGTATTGAGCTTCAGTTGTGATGTATCCTCAAGCCATAAATGATGTTACTTTGCTAACAGTATCTGGGGGCGGACGCTCCAGGCAGTGAAGCTGGGACTGGGAGCAGCCGCCGGCGAATGCTTCTCCAAGAGCACCAAGATTCACAGATCGTAGTGGTTCTGGAAAAAAAAAGTCCTATATGGCGAATGTCTGAAGCTAGTGGTTGATGGAAAACAACAGTCCTATGTGTGAAGCTGGTGAGAATATTCAGAGATGCTCGTGTATAGATTATTATCAGTTAGTACTCTGTTTGTGATCTATTTACTCCCTCCGTCCAAAAAAAAAAACTCAACCAAGGAAAGGAGTGTTTTTTGGGATGGATGGAGTATTATGCAAGGTAAGGGCTTGTTTAGTTGGTGAAATAAAAATTTTTGGATGTCACATCAGACGTTTAACCAGATGTTGGAAGGGGTTTTCGGACACGAATGAAAAAACTAATTTCATAACTCGCCTGGAAACCGCGAGATGAATCTTTTGAGCCTAATTAAACCGTTATTAGCACATGTGGGTTACTATAGCATTTATAGCTAATTATGGACTAATTAGGCTCAAAAGATTTGTCTCGTGATTTACATGCAAACTGTGCAATTAGTTTTTTATCTATATTTAATGCTCTATACATGTGTCCAAAGATTCGGTGTGATGTTTTTTACGAAAAGTTTTTAGGGAACTAAACATGTCCTAAATGGTATGATCTGTAATTGTAAGCGAGATGCTTGTTCATTTCCACGTTTCGGCTTGCAAAATGAGATAGTGCTGAACATGCCCTGTGGACTGTGTTTGACTGTGATTGTCCTGCACCTGAAAATGGTGGAACCTCCCGGAATATGCATATTTTTAACTGTACGTGGAGTTCTCATATTTACACGCCCATTCTTTAGAACACAGGTTAATAACGGCAAGGCTGCTACATGCTCAAACTGACAGCGGTTGACAGATCTATCAATACTACGTAATAAGATGGCTGCGATCCTGTTCGTTCCTCTTGTCAAAATTTGTGTACTGCTTACTGTATCAGTATAACCACCAGAAAAGATGGTTTCATTTAAGAAACATGAGCTCTGCACTCTACAGCTGAACATATCGATTCCATTTAAGAGCAAGGCTAATAATACAACCGACTTGTTGGCTATAAGGCCATTCCTAACACAATGACTAGGATAGTATCCATAGCATTAAATAAATTATCACCTAGGATGAAAAATGATGTGGCAAGTGAATAAATGAGGAAAGAGAAGGAAACCATGTCTTGTATGAGACATGGTTTCTACACAACATCCAATACATCATGTGAGATAAGTAGTATTAAATTTAAGTATGGAATAGTGGTGTTTGTATTGGAAGGGTAGTGTCTAGTACTAGTTTTTTGATGATGTGAAGTTTATGGAAACCATGTCTAGTGTCTTGGGGTTGGGAATGGCCTAAGGTTTTTTTCAGCCTTCTCTTAGCCCACACATATAATAGTTAGCTATTTACAATTAATATATGACCACTTATCTCTCTCACAGAAATTCTTGGTTCTTGCGTCCAAGTCAGTTGTAAGTTTACAGCCCGCTACTCCTCTCTCTCCTATCTTCTCTCCTCCACCTAAGCATTTAGCCGACATACAGCCTCCTATTATACTTGTTCTAAGAAACTAGCAACATAGGCGGTGGAATCGCCGAGGTTAGGGGAGGCGGCTTAGGCGGGAAGGGAGGGGGACAGGCGACGGAAGTGAGTTGGAAGCGGTTCGTTTTGGGCGGCGGCAAAATCCATCGACAAAAGTGGTTGCTAGGGTTCATGAGCGATAAATTACGATTATACCCCGTGCATACTTTTTTCTTAGATAATACTACCCCTCCACGTTTCTACTACTGTTAATTATGGTGGTAGTAGAAATAAACCTCAACCATTTGATTAAAGAAAAAGTACGAATTAACCCCCCAGACTATTACGATAGTATGAATTATACCCTTAAACCACAAAACCAGACATTTTATACCCTGAACTATCTATACTAGATGAATAACCCCCTTCGATCCAATCCAAAGCAGTATTGTCCTACGTGGTATGCAAGTGGCAATCTAGTTAGCATTTCTTTTTAAAAAATGGTGGGGCCACCTGTCATACTCTCCGACCTCTCTCTCCTCCCCTCTTCCTCCCAATCTCTCTCTCTCTCTCTCTCTTCCCCTCTTCCTCTCAATCTCTATGTCACAGATGTGGAGCGGCGAGTTGGTGGCCGGCGATGGGCGTGGCGGGGGCGCGGCGAGCGTGATGGAGAGGTGGGCGACGTCCGGCGGGCGGCGGACGCCGTCGCCCTCGCACACCACCGGGAGCAGCTCCAACTCCACGCGCGGTCGAGCTCCTGCTCCACGCGCGCCACGGGCACGGTGGGGCGCGAGGCGGCGTTGGCGGCATCGTCGTCGCCCACCTCCTTGCGCGGTCGAGCTCCAGCTCCACGCGTGCGCTCGAGGACTCCGTCTTGACCACCTCCAGCACGCTCTCCAGCTCCGCCACGTCGCCCAGCCGCGCCCGCCGCCGCCGCAGCCGCCTCCGCGTTTCTGGGATTCTCAGTCCACATCATGAAGAAAGTCTGTTCACTACTAGAATTACATTATCCATTAACTTCTTCAGAATAAGAAAAAGGTGAATTGAAGGAGTAAATCAGTGCAAATCTGATGCCAACAAAATGGAAAAATATTCAGCAAACAGTGCAACTTTTGGATTCAAATGTGCTTTTGTTTGCACCTCCACTGTTCTACTGTTATAGAGCTTTTTTGGCTCCTTGCAAGGTGAAGCTGTGTATCAGCTGCGTCAGGCTTTCATACGAGGAGCCTCCTTTCTCCATGGCTCTGCGAGCTTTCTCCCCGTACTCCTTCGCCTTCCTCCTCTCGCCGGCGTGCTCGCCGCCGTCCATCAGCGCCATCACCGCCCGCGCGACGTCACCCCGGGTGACAGGTGACCGCCATGGCCTCGTCGCCGAGCAGCAGCACGGGCGTCGTCACGCCGACGCCGAGCACGTCGACGACGAGCCGCTCGTTCAGGAACTGGTCGGAGAAGTGCGGCCACGCCACGACCAGCACGCCATGGGCGATGGACTCTAGCATCAAGACCTCCAGTGGATTTATGATGTTGTACTCGCGAGCCTGATTCTCGCTGGGTCTCTTCTGTTCTGTAGTTCTGTGAAGGACTATCAACATACAAATGCACAATAATCCTGGAAGCTCAAACCGGTTTGGTGAATTATGCCCATTTAATCGACAGAGTGCATTTTTAATTGCAGATTTTGACCAGTGGTTTGGGTGCCTTAAGTTCCATATAACTATTGTTCAATGATAATGGAAATGCTTTTAAGTATTATGTAAGATCAAGTTAAGCGGTGTCTTTGTCAGTTATTAGTTGCTTGTGAGTGAAACTATTATTCATCTAAACTAAATTATTTCTGTCTGAATGGATGCATGCTTTGTATGGTAAAAAACGAGCAGGGTTATTGAGCGGGTCTTCCTGCTCCTTCAATTTATTTGTCATATGCTGAGAAATGTTCTTGTTCCATCCTTTATCTTCCGTTGAGAAATCATCTTGTTTCTTCTGTTAGAGGATGAAAAATATTATGTCAACAATTTTATTTGTTGATTATATGTTGACAATGCTCTTGTTTTTTCATTAATCTTATTTCTTGTATTCACAAATCCTCTTGTTTCTTCAGTTAAAAAGATTATTAAGAATTATGTGCAACATTGTTCATAACCATCGTATCTCGTCCTATTGTTAAAAAAAGGGTTAATTACAGTCATGTCATTATAATTTTTACAGTTTTGAAACATATCATTACTATTCATCTATTCGGAACCATGCCACTATAACTTCACAGCTATTTTAAATATAGGTTAATTGGATCCATACCATCATAAATTTGTTGGTGTTAAAAAATATCACTACTATTTATATATTTGGAGCCATGCCATTACAATTTCATAACTTTTGAAGATATACCACTACTTACCCATTAGATGTGTTTATAATTTTCTTTGGACCAAATTACCCTCGTCTTCTTTCTTCATCCCTCTTTCCCTCCCCTCTCAACCTCTATCCTCTGTCTCACTGGCGGCGGAACGATGGATGGAGCAGGGTGAAGCTCTTGGAGCGCGACAGCACGGAAGGCATCCGCCACCTAGCTATGACGCGAGAACTTTCTTGTGCTCGAAGCAGCAATAGAGGCAGACACGCCTAGGAAACTGTTATCAAGGATTTTTCTTCTGTTTTGTCCCTATGAATTTACAGGAACATTTTTGGTCTATAAGGGTAGGGGAGAGGGGCACGAGAGGGATAAAAAGTTTGGATTTTGTTCACATCGAATACCAGATTTCCAATCCATTCCCCCCACTTTCTCGAGCAACAGCAATCCCGGGTGATTTTCTTGGATTTGTCCCCTTTCTCGTGTTAGCTTGGCATGAGCAAGAGGGAGCTCGGGGTGATGGATTGATTGATTCGCACCTATTTGTGCCGCTGTTGCTCGCCTGCATCGTCCTCAGCTACCTACTCGACGAGAACCGAAGGTTCGATGGTTGCACGATTTTTTTTTCTTTTTTTTTTGAAAACTTGAACGAGTTCATCACTGTTGTGTTGGGTGTTCCCATGGAAAAAGAGATGGAAAGGAAGAAGATAGGATAATTTGGTAAAAAAAAATATAAACACATCCAATAGATAAGTAGTGGTATATCTCCAATAGTTATAAAATTGTAATGGCATTGCTTCAAATATGTGAACAGTAATGATATTTTTTAAAACCAACAAATTTGTAATGGCATGGATCCAATTAACCCTCTTAATATACCACTACTTACCTTTTCATTGCTTTTTCTAAATCTTTTGGACCATATTACCCCTATCTTCTCCATTCATCCCATACTCTCCCACCCACGTTCATGTTCTCCATGGAGCTGCAGCTCTAAGCAAAAGCAGCGGCGGTGGCAGGGCGCCGAGCAGGTGGCATCAAGTATCCAACATTCTAACCTCGTTGCATCCATGAGGAGGACACGGCTCAGAGAGCAAAGAATTTCCCCACGATTTTTTTTCCTGTTTATTTTTTTTGTTTTTTCTTTGAATTCTTTCCTTACGATTTTTGCTCCTGCTCTAGTTCTTGTTTGATTAATTTGGTCAAATCTTTGTGATGATTTTTGCTCCTGGTTTTTATGGGGTTGCTCTTTGATTTTTTTTTTCTCCTGGTTGAGTTCTTTGATTTGTCGGGTTAAATCTTGGTGAGGAGCGCCGCACGGGAGAGTTTCCTCAAGATCCAGCCTTCCCCCCTGTTGAGGTTGTCAGCAAGGCAGGGACTATTGTCGCCGGTGAGCTTGTGGACGACAGAGGAAGTTGAGCTTATGGATGGCGACAACGATGGATGGCACCAGCCCAATGCTGTCGATCCCATCCCATTCGTCACTACCTCGCCTCAAGGTCCCTACCCCTGCCCGTCCCGCCCCCATCCTCGCCACAGGAGGTGGCTGCTCCTCCTACCGCCCCCATCCTCGCGTCCTGGACGACGGAGTTGGCCGGGAGGATATGTGCGGCGTTGTTCAGGTGGTCGTGGTCTCCAGATCCGCCAGAACTTCATTGTTCGCTGCCATGCCCCATGCCGTCGCCGGTGGCCTGACCACATTGCTTGCTGCTATGACCTGAGTTGCTGCTTCTAGGAGGATAAGGGTGGGGAGAAGATGAACGGGAGAGAGGAAGAAGACAAGGGCACTTCGGTCAAAATATTTGAGAAAATACCCTGAAGGGGTAAGTAGTGGCACATATTGAAAGCGGTGAAATTATAATGTCATGGTTTTAAATAGTTGAATAGTAATGGTATATATCAAAACCATAAAAGTTGTAATGGCATGTATCCAATTAACCATTAAAAATATATTTTTTTTGGTTATTTGATTTTTATTACAAAATATCACCGTAGCGTTTAGCACGAGCATATTACTAGTGGATCTATAAGTTGAAATCTGGAAGTAATAGTCCTTGTTTTGTGTGTGTGTGTGTGTGTGTGTGTTAAAAGGTGAATGAAACTAGGAGAAGCTATCAGATTCTAGGATGATGTCTGGATAGGGGAGATGCCATTAAAAACTCAATTTCCTTATATTTATAGCATCTGTTCTGACCCTAACAGTATTGTAAAACAAATGTTGATAGAGGGGGAATGGGAGATCAATCTGAGAAGAACTCTGGGTCAAAATGAATTGGTTGAATGGATGGAGCTGCAAGAGAGGCTTGCTCCAATCCAGTTGACAACAGAAAAAGATAGTATGGTTTGGAAGCTGACTCAGTCAGGACAATTTACCACAAAGTCTCCTTACAGAGAAATTGTTTTTGGGGGAGTCAAAGATGTTTGATCTTCTGAATTTAATTCAGAACCAGAGGGGAGTTGAAAACAAAACCTTGTGGTATTATTTTGCTGCAGGGGCTTAGGCGATTTGGCTTGTGAGAAACGACTGGGTGTTCAATTGACTTGTGAAAAATATTGTATCTTTGCCTTATAAAGCTTTATCGTTTGTGAAAGTGGAAAAGCTTGTCACCAATTGAGTTAAGGGGCGAGATAGAGAGAGCACAGGGATTGTTGTTTGCCAGTATCCGCGCGACAGAAGGTTCAAGTTAGGCCTCTTTAATCGCATGATTGAGAAAACGTAGGAATAGGAAAAACGTAGGATTTTGATAAGAATGTAAGTGTAAAACAGAGGATTGCAAAACGCAGGAAAAACACAGGAATGACCGTTTGATTGAAACATAGGAAAAACACAGGAATTGGATGAGAGATATAGACTCAAAGGAAAGTTAGCAAGAGGATGAAACTCTGGCTAAATTTCCTCCAAAATCCCTTTAGGATTGTCCATTTTATAGTAATTTCAAAGGATTATATATGATTCAATTCTTTATTTCAAAGAGTTTCATAGAAAATTTTCCTATAGAATTGAAATCCTCTAAAATTTCTATGTTTTTCCTCCAAATCAAAGGGCCTTAATGTCGCCGTTCTGATCAATCCCCTTTCTGACATTGCTTCTCCTTTTTGGACTTGTATGCTTGCTGTTCCCTGTGCTGTGCCAGCAGCGTTAGTCCTTTTTTCTGTCTTTCTAGACTGTAAGCGCTTGGCCTGTATAGCTGGTAATCCCAGCATTCTGTTCGAACTCTTATGCTTTGTTAAAAAGCTGGGCTTATGCCTTTTCTCCAAAAAAACGATGAGCATGTTTGTTTAACAATTTATTTAGATTTGTTGCAAAGGCACATGCACTTCGCTAGTTTCAGAGAAAGAAGACATTGACAATTCGAACATAGACGAACAAGAGAATTGGTTATGACAGCAAGCGAACTCGCTAACCATTAGCACTAGAGAACACATCGGTATCGTTTTCTTAAAATATGAAAAAAAAAAAAGAGGAAAAGATAACATGGTGATATTTAGCCTCCGCACCATGGGGATCCACACCGTTAGATAACTTATTCTTCGAACGAGCAGGGCCCCCATTTCAGAGGTGAGATATAAAATGGCCCTGAGCGACGATGATGATACCACTCAAAATAATGGACACAGGTAGGACGTATCGATTGGCCAAGTTTTTCGTATCAGCACCGGACCTGCAGCCCACAAGATGAACTTAATATAAGATAAATATAAGTTCAAGCAAAAGGTAAATAGTTCGTAGAGCCTACTTACAAGGTACCATTATCTCGCGTCTCAGCACGGAATTGCCGAAGCAGCCTCAGTATGGCTTTGTTCTCCTCGGCACTTTTTTCACACGAGCCATTGTGAAGATCCATCTGAAGTAGCAGACGGAACAGCTCGTCTTTCTTCTCCTGCACTAGCGTCTCAAGACTTGCAGGATCTATGTTGTTATGAACCTTGGCATCTGCGGCAGGATTTGGGCAAGGCAAACGATGCTGAAAATACAAAGAACACCGTGAATTGCATTATGAAAAGGAAACCAAATAGTAACACAAAACGCATGAGGAAACAAGTACAGTGGTAAAACTGGTTGGTTGGATAAGAAGAAGCTTTAAAGTTTGAACAGTGTCAATGTCACTTTTACATCAAGCTTTAGGCAGAATTTGGAAAACAATATTGCGTGAAAGTACATCCAAATATGAACCCATAATAATTGGACCAATTGCTGGTAAAAATCTATGGCCTTCAACTTTTTTCAAGATAATACATGCTCTATATTATGAGGGAGATTTGACACAAATGTGAGGTAAAAGAAAACCGAATTTTCAACTACATGGTCTAAGGGTCTCATCGGTTACCAAAGACTTATTATAAGCCACAACGGCTTTTATTAGTGATAAAAAAGTAATTTTTTGTCTAAAACATTTACAATGTGTTCTTAGCAACTTAAAAGCCAATGCTGAAAAAGAAACTATGTTGAAAATATCTTAAAATCAACTTCAAATTGAGTTTGAAAAATTAAAAAAAAAAGACTTTGGTTGAATTCTTTTTAGGCCTACCAATGGGCTAAAATTGTCGATAAAGCATAACAGGTTATGGTCTTGTGGTTACATTGAATTATTGGACTGGTCTTGCCCAACGGACTGTGGAGACCTGTCTAAGAGGGACATCAATCTATTGGAGCAATTTTGGTTGTGTAACTATTGTAGAAGTGCCTTTGTAGGCTTTACTGAAGCCATGCAGAAAACAAAATGGAAAAATTTACATTGCCGCTACACTAAATTTACATACATAAAAAAAAAAAAGTGGAGCCTACAGGAAAAGGGGTTAACTTATAGACATTAGCCGAATAAAGATGCAAAGAAAAGTTTTGATACAAAAATAATTACATCGGTGCATTTAATTAAGGAAACCTGAGTATCTCACTATAAAAAACAATATAATAAAAGAAATGAATTTAAGTACATGTGCTATGCATTGGAAAACTGTAATTAATTAAAGAGAGGTTGATGCTTTACTCCAGAAATCGATTTATTATTGTTGGCAAGGGGTGGTTGAGGAGTAGCGGAGGAACTGAAGTGGCGGGTATATGAGATGTGAGGCATCTCGCCACGGATAAGCATGGGCAACAGCCTCCGCTCCGCCTCCAAAGCCGGCGATGTGACCGCCGGATATACAACCCGCGGTCGCTGTAGTGCGCGACCGCAGATCTTCCGCGCCGCATAGCGAAGCGCAGCCATCGACAACTACTTCGCTGACAGTATATCGGATCGGAGCGGAGCGTATTTTCTCCTCAGACCAGACCTAATCTCTCGGGAAGGGGCTCCCTTCTCGTCAAAATCGACTCAACATATATAGTATATACGAGTACCTAACAATCGAAGATCGGTATTGGAAATAATCGGAAACGGGATCGGTAGGAAGAATCGGAAACGGTTTAGGGCACAGTTTTACCTTTTCTTTATATACGAATCCAATCGCTCTACAGGCACCTCCCCACCTCCGCCTTGGCCTTTGTGTGTTCCCAGCGGAGGCCCTTTTATTTATTTAGTTTTTTTTAGTGGCTAACACCATTCCTGTCCATGGCGGCGGCCGAAGGTGGACACAGCACCCCCACGGAGAGGAGAGGAAAGGGATTATCTCATCTCAGATGAGAGAGGAGGTTCCTATGGAGTACTAAAAGAAAAGAGGAGCAGCAGCTCGTGGGCCCAGTAAAGACCAAAATGTTGGCGGAATCAGCAACCCGGGAAAGAAATACAAGTCCACTATGACTCCCTCGGAATATTGGCTGAATCTCATCTTTTACCACAAAACCAAAACCATCTCGCTCGGTTGTTTTCGAGAATGGTTTGTTTTTTTTTTTTGACTGACGTGATGCCCAAAAACTTTCCGTAAAAACATCACATCAAATCTTTGGACACATGTATGAAGCACTAAATATAGATAAAAAAACTAATTGCACAGTAATTAGTCTATGATTAGTCCCGAGACGAATCTTTTGAGCCTAATTAGTCTATGATTAGCCATAAGTGCTACAGTAACTCACATGTGCTAATGATGGCTTAATTAGGCTCAAAAGATTCGTCTCGCGGTTTCCAGGCGAGTTATGAAATTAGTTTTTTCATTCGTGTCCAAAAACCTCTTCCGACATCCGGTCAAACGTCCGATGTGACACCAAAAAATTTTCATTTCACCAACAAAACAGGCCCATTAATATGGGAACCTACTTCTCCTCTGCCACCTTCCCCTCTCCGCTTTCTGCTCTTCCTTCTCTCTCCTCTCCACAACGGCCTCTGCTTGGGGATGACACTGTAGGGGGCGGAGCTTTGTGGCGCGGTGGAGAAGATGGGACAATGGGGGATATCGTGATGGCGCTCTTGGCGAGGCTTAGGGCCTGTTTGGAGAACTTAAGATTCTGAGAAGCAGCTGGTTGGTAACCATCTTCTGATAATCTAGGGGCCTGTTCACTTTGTTGCAAAAAAAAACCTTACTAAATTTTGGCATTGCCAAAATTTTGGCATAGTTACTAAAAGTTTGGCAACTTGCCAAAATTTTGGCATGATTTCTTATATAGTTAGCAAAATTTGGCAGCAAACTAAATGTAGCCACTTTTTTAACAACTTTACCAAAATTTGGTAAGGTTGAAAATAGCATCAAAGTGAACAGGCCCTAGAAAAGTTGGGTTTCCCAGCTTCTGGCTTGCTTATTTTCTGGATTCTACAAGTACAGTTTCTCAGAATCTGGACCAAAAGCTGGACTGTTTAGGGGAGCTTCTGATACTGTGAGAAGTTGCAGCGGCTAGAAACTCCTCCAAACAGGCCCTTAGGCTGTGTTCGCTACTCCTAGGAACATATCTCCAGCACACAGAAAACGGAGCGGTCCATTAACGTATGATTAATTAAGTATTTCCTTTTTTTTCAAAAATAGATCAATATGATTTTTAACAACTTTCGTATAGATTTTTTTAAAAAAAACGCATCGTTTAATAGTTTGAAAAGCGTGTACGTGGAACACAAGTGAGATGGGTTGGGAAACCCATCCTGCCGAACTAAGCCTAAGGCCGAGGTACTCATCCTTGAAGAACATGCCAAAGGCGCTTCATCGAGGAGAGCGCCACCCTAAGAGCAAGTATAATAGTGTGCTATAAGTATACTACTTTCTCCATTTCAGGTTATAATACTTTCTAGCATTGCCCATATTCATATAAATGTTAATGAATCTAGGCACATGCTAAAAGTCTTATAACCTGAAACGGAGGTAGTACAAATTTACGTGGAGGAGAGAGGTAACAAAAAAAATCAAGAGTATTGGCTCTCATGCAAGAACTAGCTTAACACAAGCTCTAAAACAAATACATGTTGTTTATGATAGAGAGGAAAAAAAATTGTAGCCAATCTGATAGCTAATTTATTATATATGTTGGCTTTAAGATGAGCTAATAGTAGGAAGTGGGCTCTACTATTATCCTTGCTATAAGGCTGAGTTCGTTTCTCAGGTTCCTAACCCTCCATCTCATTTTTCGCGCGCACGCTTTTTAAACTGCTAAACATTTTTTTAAAAAAGTTTCTATACGAAGGTTGTTTAAAAAATCATATTGATCTATTTATGAAAAAAAAAAAGGAAATGCTTAATTAATCACGCGCTAATGGACTACTCCGTTTTTCCCGTGTGCAGGGCATGGGTTCCAACCGTGGGAAACGAACACGGCCTAAGTAGGGTAATGGAGAAGAAATGAGGGTGGAACACCGAGAGTGCAGGAATTAAATTTAAAAAATATACCTTTATTTTTCATAATTTGTGTTTATATATATGCATGGAGCGGAATTGCGAAAATATACCTAACCCACGGTGCGGCGATGCGGGAGCGACGCGTAACCGCAGATCGAAGGCGCGGGACCAGTGGTCGTATCGGTCACGCAGGTTGGATGTGAGGGACCGACGTGGTCCCGCATATTGCGCATGCGGCATCGGCGCACTTCCGCTGGGTAGTTCAGCGGCACCGCGGTGGTTTGCGGGACCGAGCGACACCGGCTCGGTCCCGCGGAATAGATGTACGGGACGGGCTGCCACATATTGGAAACGCGGGAGCGCTCTCCTTCCCGGTAAAACCAAATCCAATCACTCCTAAACTTTTGCAAACAGTTAAAACTAATCAACCACTCCTATACTTTATGTCCAATCACTCCTAAATTTTACACACAGTTAAAGCAAATAAACACAGATTCATGTGAGTTGGGTGGGACCCCACCGGTGCACGCGCGTGGTTGCGCAGACTGGCCAAGCGGGATCGACGCGCTCCCGCGCATTGGGACTGTGGGACCAGTGCCTACTCCCTCCGTCCCAAAAAAAACTCAATTCTTGTGTTTTTGTGTTCAATGTTTGACTGTCCGTCTTATATGAAATATTTTTATGATTAGTATTTTCATTGTTGTTAGATGATAAAACATGAATAATACTTTATGCGTAACTTATCCTTTTAAAATTTTTTTATTTTTTTTTAAATAAGACGGATGATCAAACGTTGGACGCGGAAACCTACGAATTGAGTTATTTTGGGACGGAGGAAGTATACATGAAAAGAGTGTGATCATGATCTAGAGCAGTTAAAAGAGGTGCCTATACATACGTGGTAGTGCTTTACTGCTGCTGAGATAAGATGGTTCTAAATTAATCACCGCAACAGTCCGTACAGGACTATTATTCAGGTTTATTACAGAGGCACGAGCCATCTGTCAACCCAATGTGAAGTGTCAATTGTGCAACTCTTTACAATGATTAATAGCCCTGGACACAAATTGGCATATACGTGCAACCGAAGCATCACAGAATAACTGAATTGTTCAGAAGTATACCGAAGCATCGGCTTGGTGCCGCAGATTGAGGCTGCGGGACGTCTCGGTCCCGCGCCTCCGTTCTGCGCGATCGGCGGATCGGCCTGGCTGCCCATAGCACGGAACCACCTCGGTGCTGCCGATTGGGGCTGCGGGACCGTTTCGGTCCCGCCCGCATAGCCGCGCCGTGGGACCGACTCGGTTCCACACACCCAATTCGTGTGACCGAGCCGATCCCACGCCCCCGCTCCACGCGACCGCGTTCCCGCGCCACCAACCTGCATTACCAAATCGCTCTCGCGTTTCCAGCGTGCGGAGAAGGTATATTTGTGCCAAACTTTACTGTCCAGGTATATAAATGTAAATTATTGAAAAAAAAAGTATATTTTCAAATTTAATTCAAGAGTGCAGAGCCTCGATGACGGTAGACCATGCGGAGCTAACCATCACGCGTGGAGGAGATAAGGACATGGGAATCCACGGGTTCTGGTTGATCAACTAGGGGTTCTGGGTGTGGTCGGTGTGCCTAGGAGTGCTCGGGAGCCAAGGGCACGAGTCAAGTGGTGATTGTCCGAGGTTGAAGTTGGATGCAATATTGAGAGGCTGACATGTGGTGCCCACATTGCTTTCCACACGAACAAGACATGTTGGCTCTTCACATAGGCAAAACTGAAAATAGTTAAAAAAATATCTATCTTCAGTGGCAATTTTGTAAGGTCCCATTTGAATGTGATGGAATGATGAAGATTAAGTGCGCACGCAAATGAATAAGTTATTTATACATAATTAATTAAGATTTCATTATTAAAAACATAAAAATGGATTTATTTGATTTTTTTATAGTTAAGTTTTCGTGTAAAACATATCATTTAACAGTTTGAAAAGGAAGCCAAGAAAAAAAATTGTATCTTGCTGGAGTTTAGAATCTAAAAAGTACACGCGGATAATTACCAAATGTAGCAGTGGCAAATACTAGTTAAATTCCTCGTGTTAGGTACGCAGGCAGGCTAGCTAGGTCGGCCTAGCCCACTAGGGTTAGTGTTGGGCCCTAAGAGAAAAAAGTTTTTTGGAAAAGATTTTGCTAACGATTTTGCTAAACATCACGCGACAGATTACCTGCAGCCGAGAAGCGACGACTCGCGACGAGCGAACACTCGCGAACCAGACACACCCATCATCTTATTCCACATTAAGCCCAGCTATAATTGGGCTGGGCATAAGCAGATGTCCACCATGTTCGATAGCAGTGTTCAGATTTTACAGTTCGAGCAGTTGCAGAAAACTCTAAGATTTTTTTAGTACAAAGCACAACTTCCTGCCTGGCTTTAGCTTCTTTTTGGGACTGAAGTTTGCTGAGCTAGCGCTGCTTCCTTCTTAATCTCTTTGTTAATTACTTAATTTCATGAGAAAGTGTAGTGTAGGGCATCACATAGTCTAGGAATTGGATTTCAACTCTGCGTAGTGGGAGTGCCACAATGCAATGCAACCTCAAACTTTGCTTCATTATTATACTATCCATGCATTTTGAAACTCTGCACATCGTGGAATTTAGTGCGCAAGTCTCTGAAGGCCTTCTCTGCATCTTCATGCTTCATCATGAACCACTATATATATGCTTTGGTGGAGTATATTTTAACTAGTTAGTTAACATCTGGAACTAACTGAAAGCGAAGCTGTTAGGAGTAGTTTAATCTTGATCCACGTCTACATGCACACAGTTGTGAATAATTCACTATTCTTATCACTGATAGTGGCGACGGTTGAGTATCTTATCATGAATTCATGATCAGACTCACCAGTCACCAATGCTTGCTAGCTTCAATG